TCGTGACGTCATTACACGTGACGTCATGATGATTGATCTTGATAATAATATGGACAAAATTTGCCAGAATAAACCTTAGCGATTTCCCATGTTAATTTACATAAGGTTTGCGCTCCAATTCACCTAGCTCCTTTACTAGTAATGCTAATTTTCCATTACAATTAGCATTAAAATGGGTTTATTTCGAAAAAGTGAGGAGTGACAATTTTTTTTTCGACTTTACGATAGAAAAAGCGAAAAATTATTTATATAAAAAATATCATTTATGCCCATTTTCGTGGTTGCTAGTGATAACTACCGTGAAGTTAGCACTACCAGGGGTTATTTTTAAAAGGAGATAAGCGACAAATTTTCCTTTTATACGAGAAAAAAGCGAACAATTCTCAAATACTCAAATTCCAAAGTTGTAGTGCTTTACGGATCTGCAAAGCTTTACTAAGGTTCAAATTTAGGCATTCTACAATAAATCTCAAAGTTGCAAGTTTTAAAAATGTATTACAATATCGAGGGTTCAGGGCCAAGATAAGTCGGCAAAAATGGAAAAATTACTTTTATACACCAACATAGTTTTTTAATATTTAATATTTCTGTTAATACACTCGTTACTTCTTAACTTTTATTTCGAACAACTGATAAATGAGAAAACAAATTTTTGTTTAAGCAAGAATCCTACAGGGTGGCCCAATTAAAATAGCTCACCTGTAATATTTTCCCAAAAGGTTTGTTTGGGAAATCCCCGAGACCGGTCGATTCTGATTTCAAGGACTTCTTTTGATCTTTAATTCATATATGTAGGTTCGTCCCATTCAAGAATACTAGATGACACGAGTGGTCAAGTGGCACATCATTTTAAAGGTATTTCAATTCTCTTTTCAAACATGCTAACATTTTTTATTCTATGTTAAAATTAATGTAAAACCCCTGTTGGGAGTGTCGGTGAAATAAATCGAAAAAAAAAGTTTCCAAACAAGTGTTAATTAATCAAATGTTCAAATTGCGACCCATTTACTTCCATGCAGTAATAAAGTCTTTGTTCAACATCTTCCCGAACATTTCGGAGCATTTCAGGGATTATTTCTCCACATGCTTGCACTATTATTCGGTGGCGAAGATTTTCTAAAGATGTAGGTTTCGTCTCATAAACAATACTTTTTACATAACCCTTCAAGAAAAAGTCCATCCTATTGAAAAAATACATCATTTTCTGGGATCTTTAAAAATTTCAGGTAAGACTCACCCTTCAAGTTACCAGGTAGAAAAAAGCGACTAAATAATATTATTGCTCAAAATCTCAGCCCATACATTCAACTTTTCTGGATATTGTGAATGCTGTTCTCTCATAATTCGTGGATTTGAATCACTCCAGTATCTGCAATTACGTCTGTTGACGTTATCATTAAGAAAGAATGTGCATTCGTCAGAATATAAAAAATTAGCATTTTTAAAATTCCTTTAACCACCTACTCACAAAATTGGATACGGCGATCTGGCTCATTCCCATTGAGTTCTTGCACGAGATGAATCTTATAGGCTGGGCCAACGAGAGGGGGGTAGCCGGGACAAATTCCCGGGGCCTGGGCACAAGTGGGGACCCGGCAGCGGTACAAGGGGGGCCCGGCAGCGGCACAAGGGGGCCCGGCAGATGTAGGTGACTCATACAGCACACATTATTTCAGAAATGTTTCAGAAATATTTGAAACGTTTCAGACATATAAAATTTCAAGCACAAGTTTCTGAAATATTTCTGAAATACTTTAGTCAAATATTTAACTGAAAATGTTTCTGAAACATGGTATACATGTTACACAAAAGGTTACTAAACGGGTTATGTTGTAAAAGGCCAAGAATTAATGAAGAATTTCTGATTTGTAAGAAGAAGATGGGATATGTAGTTATTTTATTTTATCATGCCACCAGTTAGAAACAAGCCTATATTCTAAATAATTATAGATTTGAGTTGTTGGTTTTTGATATTCATGCGATGTGAACTTGTTATATAGGAAGCAGAATATGTCTTTAGAAATTAAGGTGAGAACTACATAAATAATGCTTGCTTAGGTGGATCTTCATGTTTTGTTTAGACATGAGTATTGTTTTATTATAGTTAATTTAAAACAATATTAATAAAACTATTGTTAATCAAATAATTTGTATAAATCCTTTTTAATTACCTATATTTGGTTTCAGATTAATAATAATACTCTCCCTAATTCACCCCTTTACGAGTGAATTTCAACCCCAAAAGCTGAGCTTGTACGGGGAAAGAGACGGCTATTCTTATTATTTGCCGTGGCGCTCCGGGGCGACTTAAAGATGATTGATGGTGCCATTTGACATACAGGTGAGGAAAACCCGGAAAATCCCACCCACCATCATGAACCCCACCCACCATCATACCCCACCCACCATCATTAGTGCATTTAAAGAAATTGGTGGAAATAAAGCAATTCAAGATATTTAACGTTTCCAGAATAAAGTATTAAGGAACATCGTCGATGCATCCTGGTACTGCCGTAATTAATACTGATCTTCATAGGGACCTTAAAGTGGAGCCGGTTGAAAATACAATACAAAAATTTGTCAGTAGTTAACAACAACGACTGCTCCAACATGGAAACCTTGAGATTATTCAGCTCCTCAACAATGCTAATCTAATAAGAAGACTCAAGGGAACCAGGCCTTTTGAGTTAGTTCAGTGATGTTATATTAAACCAGAGTATAGTGCGGTTAAGTGTTATACGTTAACGGTAGTGTAACTAAATAATTAGACTAAAGTACACTATACCAGGTGTTCAAATTAAAGTGTTACAGTTAAATACCGCCGAAAATATGCATTTTAGAAAAAAGTTTCAGACAAAAGTTTTATAGTTTTTTGGGGGAAATATTTTGGCCAAATTAATTTTTTTATAGCTGGCCATATCGAGGTGGACTTTGTTTTTTTAAATGGGAATCCCATTTTTTTTACAAATTCCTAAAGTACATAAAAAAATAAGAAACTTTGGATGAAAATATTTTTTTATTGGACTTTCACTTTTTGAGTAACAGCTAGTTGAAAATTTTGCTAGGCGAAAAAAAAGTTGACCATATTATGGTTAGCTATAAAAAACGATTTTAGCCAAAATTTTTTCCCTACAAAACTATAAAACTTTCGTCTGAGACGTTTTTTTTTTATAAAAGGCGGTATATAGCTGTAACACTTTAATTTGAACAACCGGTATAGTGAGTAGAATCTTAGGTTATGAAGTTTTTAATTTCTAGATAAGTTAGATAAAAATAAAATTGCTAATTGATCTTAATGATTAAATTATAGTAATCGTAAATATTTCTTTACTTGGAGCATTTATTAAAAAAACCTAGTTGTTTCAAATTAGTGCATTTAAAGGAATTGATGAAAATGAAGCAATTCACTTCTATATTTTATGAAATATTCTTTAAAACATATTTATTTGTTTGTTTAAGAAGCAATGTTTGAGTTTTGTGTATTTTAAATAAACATGTATATTTTTAAATGTCTTTTTTTAGTCTAATAATATATTAGAAAAAAAAACTAGAATACATTTCTGAAATATTACTATTTAATATTTCTAAAAGATTTCTAATTTTCATTTCAAAAATATTACTGTGAAATATTATATTTAGAAGACATTTTTACGTTTCAGGCATATTTCAGAAATGTTTCTGGGATGTTTCGTAATATTTATACAACATTGCAAATGTTTCAATGTAACATTATTGAAATATTTCCGAAATGTGTTTGTGCTGTATGGGGAGGACATTTTATTTTTTTAGAAAGGAGATAATGAAAGAGCTTAATTTTTTTTTATAAAATTGTCACGGGGTCCCAATTGGCTTTCGGCGGCCTTGCTTATAGGGACGGAATCGATGTGTTTTTTAAATTCTCTGAAGACTACTACGTGAAATTCCTGAAGCTGCTGCTACTTTTCTGGTGCTTGAAGTAAGATACAGTTCAACATGACCCAAAATTGTAACCTGTGCAGCCTCGTTAGTATCAGTGTGTTGCCTTTCGTGTTTTTTGTTAGCAACGGATCCGATCTCCATAAAATTAGTTATTAAATTTACTACGTAGGGATGGAGGTTCTTACCAGGATGCCTTTCATTAAAAATTGCAGTTTACCGGGCCCTTTTATTGTTGCTAAACTAGAGTGCGACAATTTCAATTCGTTCGGCTGTGGTGTAAAGCATGATTTGGATCATTTGCTTCAAGATAGCGGACAATAACAAGAGAATTTCTCTACACTATGTACTTGTAAAACCGTAAAAATAAATCAGTCAGTTTTGCAGTTGAGTTCTTCAATATTATTTTTATTTTTTCATCTGTTTATTTCATCGACACTCCCAACAGGTTTTTAACATTAATTTTAACACAGAACAAAAAAGTCAGCATGTTTGAAAAGAGCATTGAAATACCTTTAAAATGATGTGCCTCTTGACCCCCCATGCCATGAATTAAAGATCAAAAAAACTTCTCTTGGGTAAATATTTCAGATGGACTGTTTTAATTGGGCCACCCATAAACCAACTTTGTTTCTGTATTTGTATCTGTCACAGTTTCTGTGCGGGACAAAAGCAAATATCTCGAAAAAATAACAATAATTACAGGATAATAACTTTTCGGAACTTTTTCATAACGAGTAGATCGAAAAGTCGATGCATTATTGTCTTAATTTCGGTATATCTAAAGCAAACGAAAATGTAGATAAAATTAAAATCAATCCATTTAATCGTTAGAATATTTGCTACAAATTGACTGTAATTAATTTGTAATTAAAAGAAGAGACAACAGAAAAAGTCTTTAAACGCCAATATTTTTGCATGACTAAATTTTATTACTTATCGGGTTTTCGCTCTGGACCCTTTATTAAAAATATTAAAATAGAATCCTCAAAAATAAGGACTACACTTTGAATTATATAAAATACCATATATTTTTATTATTAAATTAGCGATGCCTATAATGTTTTTCAAATAATAATGCTTACCTGGCATAAACATTTCGCTAGACTGCTGACTTACAGATTTTTCATTTTTATCATCTCCGAAATCAATTGAACTAGTCACATTTTCAAAAGAACCACTCTCCTCCCCTGAACAATATTCTAAAACAACAACCACCAAACACAAAAATAAAGTTTTTTTGCGGAACCGGTACGTCATTTCGAAAATTACGAAATTCGAAACTATTTCAATAATTATTATTTGATTGAGGTAGTATGACAGGTTATTCTGTACTACCTGTTGAAGAATTTGTTATTATTTTGAATTGTTTATAAAATGGTAGAGTGGTGGAAATGCAAGCATCGCTTGATTGCGACATTATTTACATTGGCGTGCATACCTAAAACTGGAAAATCTAAGGTAATTGAATGTTTAGTTGGTATCTATTTATTATGAATGTAATAAAGCTGAATTAATGGACGGATTATACAGTACGGTGCAAATAAATTAATTAGGAATGTATTTCTTTTATTTGCAACATACTGTATAGGGGCGCTAGGGTTAATTCTTAGGCTGTCTCTGATCTTTACATATTTTAAAAAAAATATTAAGTCCAAATCTAAAATGGCGGCGATTAACTTAAGCATGCGTCAACCTATTTGAAAACAGCCCATGCTAAAATGAAACTACTCGAATATTTTGAAACAATTTTATTTAATTTTATCAAAAGTGAACGTCTGGCACTATAGTCTATGTGCATGCCCCAAAAAATCAAGGATAAAGAGAGTGCCTAAAAGTCAAACTATTTTATTTATTGGGTATGAAAAATGTTCTTCAAATTCTGATGAATTTGAAGTCTTTCTATATCTTCATGGATGGCTGGTTAATAGCATTAATAAATCCAAGTGAGAAAGGACGTTGTTTAATAACCCCATCACAGAAATATTTCGGAAATGTTTCAAAAATGTTACAAAGAAATATTTGTAATGTTATATAAATATTACGAAACGTGCCAGAAACATTTATGAAATGTGTCTGAAATGTAAAAATGTCCTGTAAATACGATAATTCACAGTAATATTTTTGAAATAAAAATTTGACATCTTTCAGAAGTAGTGAATAGTAATATTTCGTTTTATAAATATTATGAAACGTTGTAGAAACGTTTCTAAAATATTTCAGGAATTTCAATGCAAAATAAATGCGATATTACACTGTAATATTTTTATTAGAATAAAAAAGTTTAAAATTATACATTTTGCTTTAAATTAACTATAATAAAAGAAAATACTCATGCCTAAACAAAATATGATGAGAAGTTTCTCTTAGATACTTCTCAATCAGATCTGTAGAACTAATAAATAAAACTAGGTTATTTTTAGATAAAAATGACACTTAAACTGTCAGCAAATTTGATAAACGAAATGGCGTCACTCGTCACAGTAACTGAGATAAAATAAATTAACCTATTCTAACCTACTGACAAGCTTTATACTTCTGTAGAAAAGTTATGTCAATTTCTAAAGATATTCTAATTCCCACAGAACAGCACAACGTAGAAATAAAAAAAGCAAATGGCAAAAACCGACAACAAACGCAAACTTCCAATTATTTAGAATATAGGGTTGTCTCTGGATATATGAAAAAAATCTCTTCTTCTTCTTCTTCTTCTTCTTCTTCTTCTTCTTCTTCTTCTTCTTTTTCTTCTTCTTCTTCTTCTTCTTCTTCTTCTTCTTCTTCTTCTTCTTCTTCTTCTTCTTCTTCTTCTTCTTCTTCTTCTTCTTCTTCTTCTTCTTCTTCTTCTTCTTCTTCTTCTTCTTCTTCTTCTTCTTCTTCTTCTTCTTCTTCTTCTTCTTCTTCTTCTTCTTCTTCTTCTTCTTCTTCTTCTTCTTCTTCTTCTTCTTCTTCTTCTTCTTCTTCTTCTTCTTCTTCTTCTTCTTCTTCTTCTTCTTCTTCTTCTTCTTCTTCTTCTTCTTCTTCTTCTTCTTCTTTTTCTTTTTCTTCTTCTTCTTCTTCTTCTTCTTCTTCTTTTTCTTCTTCTTGTGTAAAAAAAAAATTCCTCAAGGAACAGGACACGGTCAGTTATCACAGGGCTCTTCAAGAAAAAAATTCCAATGAGTACCTGGAGAGTTACCTAATCGCAGCCATTTTAATTCACAATTTTATAAAATTGCCAACAACATAACCCAAAATATATAAAAATATTTTTTTTACTAGGCTCGTCCAAATTAGTCTTCAATTTTTGTGTTTAACCCCATGTTAGTCCATACTCTGTACAGGTCCTATAGGTTCTTCGATCAACCTACAGGTTGTCCAAAAGTGCGTGTCTTTTGCGATGCAATGTTTGACTGTTTCTTTTTCAGTTTGATAAAGAAATTCGAACCATTACGAAACCTCTCAAGAATTCACCGAAGATACGCCACTGGTTCTTTTTATATCGACCTCGTGTTATAAGGGTGACGCATCGAATTTAAAATATTTTTATTAATTTCCAAAATGTTTAAATAAACAACCACTTAAGAGGCTGAACGATTAATTAAAACATAGGCAGTAAAACATAGGTAGATACTATTATTACTGCAAGTTAAAAAACATTCATTTTAATAATAATAAAAAAAAATAAAATCTAGTTGGAAGTTAATATCTGCTTTATTTTGTTTCAGATAAATAATGTTAATGTTAATATTTAAAAATTAAATTAAGAAAAATATAAATGTTCTGTTTTTATTTAAATTTGGTTGGCCATGGAAATTTGACACATTTCACTGTATATTCGCGATTCAAATTAATTTTCACGCGCTTGACATTTGTCACCTATACGTAGGATATTTGTTTATTTCATTGGGTTGGTTTTGGGCGGGTTTTTGTATTTATGATTTTTTAACTGTTTTTAGATATTATTATCGTTATAATAGTGGTTTTGAGTTTTATTTAGTGTTAATGTAAGTTTAGTTTCCGTCCTTTCGTCATAAATACCTATATTACATTTTTATCGTGTGTTTAAGATAATTTGTTGGAATTTTTCACTTATCTGGATGCCTCACATACGCCTAAAAATATATTAATTTGTTCGATAACTAAACACAAGACGTCTTTTATTATGTGGTTTAAAGGAAATATCAGGTACCTGTTTATTATTGATAAACTGGAATAATCTGTTTCCTTATTCTTATAAGTACTCTGAAGTGAACTTTGTGGCACTTTGTAACGCTTTGTAAATATGTAAACCAAATAAAACTGCCACAAATGCAGAATGCAGTTTGATTCTATATATAAAATGTATCAAAATCGCAATAATATGAATTTGTGGAAAATAATGAAAACTTACGTTCTGACTTGAACCATTATCACAATATAAATTGCAATTTTCTGGGGGCTTTTTCGTAAATATAATTTTTGATATAAAAACTATATCACAAATAAGAAAAAATTCGAATTGATAATTGATACCAATTTATCTATACAGAGAATAACACGACGATGTTGCCAACTGGTGAACTGATTTTAAAAAGAAATTGAAAAATTAACTGAAATTTAAAGAAAAAAATCAATATAATTAAATTTGTTTTATAAAAATCCTTAAACAAATCAAGCAATTTTAAAAAAGATCTTTCCACTGCTAGAAAGTGTAAAAAACCTTGGACGTAGCGGAATTCTGCTGTTGGCAACGTTGGAAAAACTCCTACATAGACACCTTCTACAAACATTCGCCAGAGGGCGTATCGCTTACTTTAAAACGCGGATAGATATAATTTTTGCCTAACAAAGTATGAATATATAAATATATTTGGAATATTCTAAAATATAAAAGTGCTATTACTGAAAAATAGTTATAATTCTAATTTCAGAAGTAGCTGGAATTTTCAAAACTCTTAGGGCATAAAATAATTGTTCGATAACTCTTATATTCTACATTATCCTTAGTATTTTGTCAATTATTGTAAGTTACTTATTTTTAGAATGCAATAATTGTCAAACATGCCTTAAATGTCTTTTCACAAAATATAGTCTGAAAATGATTCCTTGTGGATCACTAATTTTTACTGTATTCAATATTGAAAGAACAGAAGTCTAATTATTAGGTTTATCTTGTTGAGACATATATGCTCAAATAAATCACTAGACACAGAGATAAAATTCATAAGATTTAGAAAAAGAACAAGTTTGGAACATTTTTGAACCTGTTGTTAGATATTTTGGTAAATTCGAAATTCTAGATGACACCGACAAATATTTACCTCTATGAAGTTGTCATGTTTGTCGCTCATCCCCTTTTTAAAATAACCCCTAGTAGTGCTAACTTCACGGTAAATATAGCACTACCAATCACGAGAATGAGCATAATTAACATTGTTTTATTTGGATAATTTGTCGCTGTGTAGTGTAAAACATTTTTTTGTCGCTTATTCCCGTTTCAAAATCATTTCTGGTAGTGCTAAATTCGCTGTAAAGTTAGCATTTTTGACTACAAAATTTGGAAAACCAATATTTTCTTTATAATAAAGCTACTTTTGTTGTATCTCGCTAGGACGTACCATTTTCAAGAGAAAAGCATTTGAAAATTTCATGATAAGTTGATGTCATCTTATTTGAAAGTGTAAACAATAATTATTAGGCCTGTACAATCAGAAATTTTATTTTTTTTAACCGGTGACTAAAGAAATTTTAGAAAATGTGCCATCAGTACTTCACTTGTAAGACCCTGTATCTCGAAAACGAAACGTTTTTGGACTTATGTTTATATAAACTTTTACTTCTGTTTTAGGATGTAAATTAAGCTGTTAAAATATGACTGTCTAATTTCGGGACACCCTGTATTTCTGCCGAATTTCAATTTTCAAAGTTATTGAGAATTGGGACACCTGTTATTTCTGTACACCTACGAATATCTCAAGTTTAATAAGTAGATTTATATGTTTTCCTGCATAGAAATGACCTTTATAAGAAGCACTTTGTTTTCCAAACGTGCTATCGGTAGTATCTCTTCTGACGCATCATTTCACTTCCTGCATTTACCAACTAGTTCTTACGTTTTAAAATTTTCCTTAAATGCAATTTATACGTAAAAGTGAATGCAGTTTTATTTACGTCAATGAATATATGAAAACAATGGACTTTTAGAGTAAAATGTATCTGTCATCTTTAAAAGTTCCTTTAAAACACGTTAAATCTGAAAATGTACTTCTGGACTAGGGTAGGTTTTTATTAAATCTTGTCAAAAGGAACTTTCGTAATATATGTATGTATTTATTTTTTCGAGAAATTAATTATTGAGAAGCAGTTTTTAAC